GTGAAGCCTGGTGTGGAGAGGTTCAGGACAGGGGCAAAGCTAGGGACCCAGAGGCAGTGTGGCAATGTGACTCAGCAGTAAGGAATATGAGCTTTGGACTCAGACATGTCTGGGTTTGAATCCTGGCTCTGCCAGTGTTATGGATTGAAAATTTGTGTCGCTCCCCCTTCACCCTGCCCCCAAATTCATATGACATGCTCTGAAATGGGGTTTTAAGAGATCCACTCTGGTTGTTGTGACGAGAATGGATTATGAGGATGTGAGCAGAAGCTGTGCAAGTTGTTAGGTGACTGTTCTAGCAACTCAGGGTAGGCAGAGAGTGACTTAGACTAGAGGAGAGGAGGAGTCAGCTGCCTGGTTATGATGGAAGAGGAGCTGACAAGAGTTAGTGATAGATGTGAAGGAAAGGGAAGAGTCACGGTGACTCCCAGGTTTTAGCTTCGTTCTGTTAACTGACCACTGCTGGGGGTAGGGGAGGAAAGAACAGTTTTGAGAGTCTCAGGGACCCCCAGAGGTTTGCAGATCACACTTTGAGAACTGTTGATGGAGGGGATGGAGGGAATAACAGGAGTGCAGTCCTTAAGAAGGCCAGAGGGAATGAAGTGGGGAGCATGAGAAGAGAGGTTGAAAATTGATTGAAAAATGGCTGTTCTTCCACTGTAATAAGATAGGAGCAAGAAGAACTGGCGTACATTTTATTGGAAGTGATTTGAGGCGGTTCCTCTCTGATAGCATGTATTTTCTCAGTGACATGTAAGTCCAGATCTTCAGTCGAAAAGGAAACACAGTAAGGATGAATACGAGGAGTTTGAGGAAAAAGAAGTATGAGCTAGTTGGCTTGGAGAGTGGGGAAACTAGGTTACAATTGCAATATTTCCAGAATCTCTCGCCTGGCTTTAGTGCATCTGCCTATCAAGAGGTGTTTCCAAGGGGAGGAGAGAAGTAGCCATCTCCATATCAATAGGTCATTACTTGGGCAAGTGAGGGTTCATCTGGGCTGGAGAGGTTGGGTGGAGCTCTCTTCTGCCGCAGCCTGGTTCAGAGGGAGAAGGGACCACTGCTTGTAAGAAATAAATGAGTTTCTTAAACTTTATTTCTCCCTCTGACTGATTTCGGTTTCAAAAGTATTTTGCCCCAGGCTCAAGCAGCAAGGTAGGTCTTTCAGAAAGTGCCCATTGGAGGTTTGTGGGCGGGAATGTAAAGGGAAACCAGTTGCGTGCAGGCACGGAAAAGGCAGGTATCTTGGTTGAATGGCTGCTGAAGTAATGATGGAGAGCAAGCAAGAGAACAGAGAGGAGAGACAGGGCAAGAATGAAGCACAGGAGTTGAGGGTGGTTGCAAGGTTGTTTAAACCAGGAAGGAGCGTGAGGACAGGGTGAGGGATAGTAGAAAAGCGATAGGCCCAGTAGACTGGACATTTTGATCAGGTGGGTGGCAGGGAGTAGGATGTTTGAAATCAGGCAGGGCTGCCACTAATGGCAAGGCCTAGGCTGTGACCGTGAGAGTGGACGTTTGTGGTTGAGGCGAGTGAGAAAGGCAAGGGACAGGGGATTTGGGTGGTCCGTTCATGTGCATGCTGACAGCATCCAGCAGGTGACAGAGGCAGGGAAGGAGGAGAGACCTACAGCCCAAAACCAAAGCCTTCAATAAAAAGGAGCACGAGGGATCAGGGGCTGGAAGGGCCGATGTTTGACAGCTGCAAGGTATTTGTGTGATTTGAAGGCAGGAGCTTCAGAGGAGCTGCAGGTTTTGAGAGAGAAAGGGAGAGAAATGGCTTAAACTGCAATAGCTGCAAAGAGAATACTCATCTTACTTCCTATCCCCGAGAGATACATGGTGTTGAGACAGTGGGGCCTTGAGAGGCTATAAGGGAAGTGATGGTTTCAGAGAAAAGGTGGGTTTCAGAGCAACGAGGCCACAGGGGAGTGTGTTGATCACAGATGTAACTGACGCAGTTGCAGTGGCCTCTGGGAAAGGATCTGGGAGGAAAATGAGGAATAAAGAATTGGGTTGAATGGTGGAAGATACATTGTGTGAGCCCTCAACTTCTGTGAGCCCCTGAAATGACCTGAAGACCCTTCTCCCTGAGAACCTCAAACAGGACAGCAAGAAGGAGGCCATGAAGTGACCCTCTTTTAGGTCAGCCCAGCATTATTAGGTCAATTATCATCACTCAGCTCATCTTCTTGCCTCTGGGCATAACTAATTATAGATTGTTCTACTTTTTTAAGTTCTCCAAGAGAAAGTGATTTTATAATTTCTCTCAATAATGCATTCCATGGTTTAACAGTCAGTACCCAGAACACTGCCTGATACATAGTAGGTGTCCAATTAATATTGTTTGAATTAACTGAATGAGTTCATAGTATCAAGATTTTCCTTTGATCTTCTTTAATATGCTCATGCTATTGCACTAGTCCATTACACTACTTAGAGTGGATCCCACTATTATTTTCCCATTTTGTAGTTTCTAGTATCACAGATACACTGTTCTGTATATTTTACTCACATGTTGATTCTATTGTTATTTAGTTGTGTCTCCAGCTAGATTTGAATTCCCTCAGTGGTTGATACTGGTTTGCTGATTCTCTTCTCCATAGCAACTACCATAGTGGATGCATAGATTTAATATTTAATACAAGCTTTTTCAAAAATATTAACACATTCTGTAACTAATTTGTGAAATAAGCACTCAATTGAAAATGCATGTGTATTCCTAGACAGTCACTCACAGGTCTACGAACCAACACCTAATGTCACATCCAGACTGCCTGGGTACAAACTGCATCTGTGTCTTACTAGCTATGTGATCTTGGGCAAGATACTTACTATTTCTGTGCCTCAGTGTCTTTGTCTGTGCAATGAAGACAGTTATCGTAAATTTGTTGTGATGAATAAATTAATATATGTAAATACTTAGAACAGTTGTTATTATTAGGCATATAGCCTATATTCATGGAATACATTAATAAATGATAACTAACTCAAGCTGGATCATTAATGAATATCAATTGTCTATTCAGTACATTCTATCATGGCTGGACAGTTAGGCACATCACTTACAAATAAAATTTGATTACACATTTCATTTTTCAGGTAACTAAAACAGGACATATCTGTGAAGTTAGCACAGAAAATGCAATGCCCTCACTTTTTGGAAAGAAGAAATGTGAGAAAGCCTAGTAAGTGAAGTAGAAGCCCCCTAATATATGCTCAGGGATTGCCAAACAACATGGGGACCAATAGCATGAGGCTGAGAGTTCCGAGAAAATGCTTGTGACAGGATTACAGGAACAGAAAATGCTGCGTTGTCTAACTCTGTAGCTGAAGAAATAGTTAAAATAATGGAAAATGCCATTGCACTGATTGTACTGACCTCCATTCACAAGGAACCTGCAGCCCTGTAGCATAGAGAATTAGGAGGAATGGAAACTCTGTTGTAACTTTTGATGGAAAACTTTTGATGGGGAGCATTTAGCAAATGGGAAGTTTGCAGGATCCACAGAGCTACATGTATGTTCTCAGGGGTGTTAGAAATGGGCATTTGCATTAATGTGCTTAAAGAAAAACTAAGGTTGCTCTAGAGGTCAGAATCAGAGAGGTGATTTACATTCAAGGAGGAATGTAGATCTTGTTTCATTGAGTAGTAAAATTAATGAAACAACTAGGAAATGTAGAAAGCCTAGAGATTTTAAGAAAAAAAACAGAATAAGCAAAACTCAATAAAGTTTTGTTCTTTTTCCCTCTTTTTTGAAATATAGTCTATTAAACCAAAGAAACTGATTTTAAAATACTAGGTCCCTAAACAGGCAAAGGAAGCCATTATTATGCCTTTAATGTACCCAGTTTTACAGTATCAGGGGATCCTTAGGCTACCTTTAGGCACTTTTCCATTTAAGAGCAACTTCCTTTGGTTTTTTGGGTGGTGGGATTAAATGTAATGCTTAATTTCTTTTTTAATGGTTGGTGTGTTGGTTTTGGAAGTTAAAAAAGTAAATAAAAATTGACTTATGAAAAGTCACATTGATTAAAAATTGACCAAAAGTTTCTAAACAAAGAGGAATTTGAGCTGGTTTGCCTGTGTTGGGGGAGAAGAAGAAGGTGGGGCCCTGAGGCTTCAGCAGCTGGCATCTGAGTCTGTTTCATTCCCTATCTGGGTGTGTGATCTGGAAGAAGTCAGTGAGACACAAATGTAATTTCAGCTGACCCAGACTTGGGAGGTGTGGCATGAATAATCAAGACAGAGAAACAACTGAAATCTGACTCAGAGATGCTAGAAATACTGCCTTGCCTCAGCAAGGCTGAGACTGTACAACATTTAATTCGTAAATGTTGATTGGAATGAGCTGTGGTACGGTGGAAAGAACACTCTCAAGTGTGTTGCAGTCAGAAATCCTGAGCTCAAGGCCTAATTGTGTCTCAGGGACTGTGTGAACTTGGGCAGATCATTTATTTTAAGCTCCCTGGACTTCAATGTTCTCATCTTTAAAATTAGGATTATAAAACCTTCCTCAAAGTGTGATGAGTAGGAACTGCTTTCTAAAGGGCTGTAGGAACGTTCTTGGTGATGATGGCCAAGGTAGTATTTATTCAAAACCACCAGTGGAAAGAACAAATTTAGAATCAGGCAGACCCGAATTGGCTCGGAGTCAGATCATAACTTTTCTTCTTAGTGACTTGGTTGGACTTTGGGCAAGTTTGTCCCATGGAGACACTTATAGAAAGAGGTATATATACATTTACCCCATAGAGTTCTTACAATAATTAAATGAAATAATTTATGTGCACAAAGTCTGACACAGAAAAACCCTCAATGCATGTAGTTTCTCTCTCCTGTTCCACAGACCTCAGAAAGAGTCTGTGATAAATGCTCAGGGCCCAATGTAGATGAATATGGCACAGGCTTTCTTTCAGGACTCTCCATGGAGTTGGGAAGAGGGCAAGTAGGTGAGTAGCTCTGAAAGAAAGTAGACTTTGGAAGGAGTAATACTGTTCTCTAGGAGCTCAAGGGTGACTGAGTCTAACGGAAGAATCATGAAAGGCAACATGGAGTAGGTGGATTTGAAGGTGGCTGCCTGGGGGAAGGAACTTTCCGGGGACTGGAGGATGAAGAATGCAGGTGAGTTGGAGAATCTTAGGTAGGCGAGTGTTGCTGGCAAATAATGGCCAATATTATTGAGAGTGCATTAGTTTCCTTTTGCTGCTGTCACAAATTACTACATATTTAGGGGCTAAAACAACCCAAGTTTATCCCAGTTCGTTCCTGCAAGACAGAAGTTCAATGCTGGTCTCACTTAGCTAAAATCAAACCTTGGCCATCCAGGGCAAGAATTCACTTCCACGCTTATTCAGGATGTTGGCTGAGTCAGTTCATTCCATTTTATGATTAAGATCCCTGTTCTCTGTCTGCTGGCCAGCTTGGGGCTGCTTCCTGCTCCCAGAAGCCTCTCTGTGGTCCTCGTCTGTGGACCAATCCATTCTTCAAACCACGATGATGGTCTTTCTCATGTTGTGAATCTCTGATTTCTCCTGTTTGTGCATCTCTTCTGCCCTAGCCAGAGGAAGTTGTCTGCTTTTAAGGCCTCATGTAATGAGATTTGGCCCATCTGTGCTATTTCTTTCTCAGTTTCTAGGAATCAGGAAGTGGATATTTGGGGGGCCATTCTCCCCACTGCAACACTTCCTATGGGCCAGACACCTTGCCCAACACTTTCTGTGTGTTACCTCATTAAATTCTTTCAGTAACTATGCAGTTTAATTTTGTCAGTCACTCTATGATGAGGAAACTGAGGCTCAGAGATATCAGGCAGCTTGGCCAAAGTCACACAGTTAGGAAATAGTAGAGCCAGAATTTGAACACAGGTCTTCTGAGTCCAGAGCTCCTGTAGAGGACAAAACATCTAGAAAGAAAGGAAATCAAACTGTAGGGCTTGAAAATAAGAGTCAGATACATAGACTTTTTTTGGTGGGGGAAGAATATTTATACCCAGCTTTATTCTCCTGGTGTCAGGTCGAGCACTGGAACCCCATCGTCTCAGGGCAAGTCTGCGTGCTGCAAGCTGGTCTCTGCCTCCAGGCCTCTCTGCTGCCTTGCAGCCCCAGAGCATGGGGTGGAGCTATTTTTTTGGCTTAAAGCAACAGAATTTTTTTTCTCACAGTTCTAGAGGCCAGACATCCTTAATAAGGTGTCAGCTCCCTCCAGAAGCCCAACAGAAAGATCCTTCCTCACCCCTTACAGCTTCTGGAGGCTCCAGGTGCTCCGGGGCTCTGACTACATCACCTGGGTCTTGGCCTCCCTTGTCACACAGCTTTTACTCTGTGTCTCTGTGTGTATGGAGCTGTTCTCACATGCAGTAGTGCTCCACGTAATCACGTGGGGAGAAATATCTCAATCTAAATGTCTAAAATATAGACATATCTAAAGATACAGAAAGATAAATATCTAAAATACGGAAACTCTGTGGACGGTCAAATGCTATTTGGAAAGCATGGGTTTGCAAACATTCCTGGGTGATAGGAGGAAGATTAAAATGTTAATGGGACATTGAATTGGTCTCAAGAAATTATATTCTTGGAAGGAATCCAATATGGTCTGTCAAGACACCATGTGGAACTCCTACCCCAGGATAGATGGAAATGCAGTCAGTTATTGGGCTGGATTCTGGGAGGTCTCTGGGGGATGTGGTGGAGCCTGAGGGTCAGACTTGGTTCATTTACTATCTCTGCAAATGATCTTAGAACACAGGATCTTCATCCTTTTCTAATGAAACTCACTGAAGATAGCAAAATGTCTGGAGTTAGACTCCCCAGAGAGGACAGAAGAAATGTTGACAGGAAATATTTCCCATTAAACTTGGGGAGAAAAAAGCCAGAAATTCAAAACACAGATAATCACTAAGATAAGGAGGTCTGGACAGAGCCACCATGACTCTGCCCACAGTAGACAGTAGACAGGGCAGAGAGGAAATCATATTGAAAGTGAAATGTGGCAGTTGGCCTAAGCACTGTTTCCCACATGTGCCAGTTTCCAGATGTCATAAACTCCTGGGCTTTGGGGCACCGCTGGAGGGAGGCCCCTGCCCATGCGCAGTGCTGGCGCCTTGGCTGCAGGAGAGTATAGTCTTGGGAGGAGCTGGGACCAAGCAGCACAGACAGGGGTCTTGGAGGGAGCTTAAAAGATGAAGGCATGGACTGAAGAGCCGCTGCCCTCCCTCCTCCCCACTCAGGGACATTCTCCAGGCCGGCCCACAGGGCAGTGTTAGGGGCTCTGTGTCTTCCTGAAGACTCCCTCACGGCTCTCCTGTATCTCCGTGATGTCGTTGTAGGTGTCAGGCTGGCTGGTAATTACTGGGTCACTGGCCTGTCTCCTCCTCTAAACCATGGACTCCATAGGCCACTTGAAAACAGGTTAGGGGACTCTCCACAGAAGTCATTTTTGGGTCTCAGATCTTTTTTAAAATGTGATGAATGCTGATTTTTTCATTCCCAGAAAAATGACCAATTTCACAAATATTTGCATATGATTTGAGAGGATTCATGAAACACCTGGGTCACTTTGGAACTATGAGAGAGTCTCCTGCTCTGTCTCCTCCAGGGTGAGAACCTCTGGCTGTAGCAAGGGCCATTGTTTGACTCTTTACCACTAACTACTGTCTTTACCACTTCCCACCTCTGTCCGCTCTACCCCTCACCCCAAGTGCCTCAGTGCACATTGTTAATTGATCACGCTTCTGCTGAGTCTGGTTGTGGTTTAAAAAACCTGTCTCAGCACAGTACTTCCAGTAATCCTACCGAAACTTCATAACTGGCATTCAAATTCAATCCTGAAAGTAGGAAGAGAAGCAAGAAGAAAGACTCACTGAAGTCAAAGGGGAATTTCTAGGTGGAAGGAGTGGGAAAAGGCTGACTATGGAGATAGAGACGGAGGAAGGATTATTGGAATCATCAATTCAGGGTCTGGTAGAAGGGGGCAGTTTAAGCAAAGATGTGGGTAGCAGTCAGATTGCGGCTGGTTAAATTAATGGGTTCCTTTGAACGTATTCTAAATAATACATTTGAATGTATTCCAAATGTTTGTCCTTGAATGTATTCTAAATCATCAGTCATGTCCATGGGGTCATACGTACAAGGATGTTGACTATGGTATTATTAAGAGTTCCTAATTCTTCTTCCATGATCATAGATGACTTACATAATTCACAACTGTAAGCCCAAGGAAGCAGCCAATAAAGAGAAAGGTGGGACAGTATTTTGAGTAGGAAGCATGTTGAATGACACAGTTGCTACTCATTTATGTATTTATTTCCACCGGGACTCCTGTTCACAAGCCAAGGCAATGGGCCTGCGGAGCTGAAGGAGAAGATGCAGGAACAAGGGAGTAAGACCAGGAGTGGACTCGAGGACTAGGCAGGGGAGCACCTCATGAAGGCTGGGCCTCTTGGAGGGGGAAGGCTGGAAAGAAAAGCAGAGGCTTGTGATGGGAGGGGCAGTAGGCCACAACCTCAATCTTCTAAGCAAAAAAGATGTGGGCATGGGGGCTAGAGTGGGTTAGGGGCTTATGAAAAGTGGAAGCAGTTGGAAAACATGCTCTGGGGATTGCGTGGGGAGTCAACCAGGATCAGTGATGCTTTAAGTGGCTCTGGGGGCCAGACTGAGATTAGATAACAGGGATTTGTAGTCGTGCTAATCATAGCAGTTGAATGATTTTTCCCAGTGACACCGAGAAGCTTGGAAACAGACAGCAGAGCCAGCAGAGAGAAAGCAGAGTGCCTGGCTGCACCCAGGCTTAGATTCTGGGTGAGGGGCTACCACTGGACCTCAGGGACTCCAACTGAGCTTCCTACTTCAATTCATTGATTCGGTCTAGTCACTGTGTATCTCTTAGGCTTCAGAGATGAATCCAGAGCTCTCCACTGAGAACATTTGAGAGGCCAAAATAAAAAACAAACAAACAAACAAACAAAAATAACAGTGTGACCAAGGATGTGAGCAATGGTCCCATTGCGCTTTTGGGAGCACAGGACGTGGGAAACAACTAGGAGAGAAGGAGGGTTGGGGACAGGGTAGTTTTCACAACAGAGGTAAAGTCCAAAGTTAGGGGGAAGGGCATCCTTAGAAGAGGAAACTGCATGGGCAAAGGCATGGACACATGGAGCTGCATGGAGGCAGCCACACACGGCTGAGTTCATTGCAGGGTGAAGTAAAAGTGAGGGCCTGGTGGGAGATGGGGCTGGAGAGGTGGGCCAGGGCCTCTTCCTAAAGAGCAGAGATAAATGGCCGTGAAGGAGCTTGAGAGAGCAAGAGCAGAGAAACAGAAAGAGAAAAGGGAGAGGGCAGTCTCCCCAGTGAGGTTATCAAGAGATTACTAGAAAGGAAGAAATGACTGACAGTTTCATTTCAAAATAGAATCATTTCAAAAATCTCATCCACAGAGCTGGCAATTAGGAGAGCACGCATAACCTTTGTCAGGTAAGTTTTGATGGAGTCCTGGGCACTGAAGGCAGATCACAAGGAATGGATGGTAGGGGAGAAAGTAAAAGCCAGTGGAAACCACTATCTGAGAATTTTGGCTCAGAAGAACAGAGAAAGGAAGTGAAGCAAGAAGGGCCAGACTTTTAAGAGAGGAAGTACATATTTAAGAATGGGAGAGATTCTAACAGGCTGTGAGGAGGGCGCAGAGAGGTTGAGACTGTACGAAGGGGAAAAGATAACGAAAGGCACGGAGCCCTTGAGGTGGGAAGGGGAGGTTTGAATAGAGGAGGGATGCCTCTTTCTCGGAGTTGAAAGGAGGGGTGGGAGCCTACGTGCAGGTGTGGTTACGTTATTAGAGGAAGGAGAGCTGTGCTTGGCCAACCGCCTCATTTCCCTTGTGAAGTAGGCGGCATGCTGACCTGCTGAAAGTAGATGGCGAGGAAAATGGTGGAGTGAGAAAGAGGAGGCCAAGGCCATGTGACAGGGCTGCGGAGAGCTGCACCCAGAACCCGTGCAAGCTGCACAAAGTACATGAGGTCCAGCGTGGGGCGTGCACAGCTCAGTGTCTGGCAAATAAATAAATAGTAGAATTTATCCCCAATCAAGATGAATCTTGAGGGCACATATATGGGGCCTCAAGAGAACTAG